TAGTGTAAGCATATGGTCTTCGTTATCCACCTAAAGATTGCTAACTGATTCATCTCATTTAAGTAGTACTGTATTGTTTCAGCAAGACGACTTACTTGTAAGGCACTGATTGTTTTTCTAGACAGTATCATCAGTGCAAAGCATTGGAGCTGACAATAAGAAAATCTGGATGAAAAAAGTTTACTTATATAAGAAATGATAAACTATATATAGCTTTCATTAAAGAAAACAGTGACAAACTTCACTTGTTCAACCATTTAAAAATGCAACAGTATACAGACATATTAATAATAAGAACAGTTTTATATTTCCTAGTAGAAAAAAGTGCACTGCATACTTTTCATGGACAAATGAGAGAAAAATGTTCAAAGCCTAGGATCTATTCAAACCCACAACTGTTTATCGACCGTTGAAAATGAGTCTTATTCAAAAAATTGGCAATCAGGATTTACAATACACTACTCGAGGTAGAATAAATAATAAATGAATACTACTTTTACTGTGGTTTATTGTTGGCCAAAACAAGCATCCATCTTTGCCTAACCGATTCATCAAGTTCTCATCATCCTAATGAACAATCTGTTCAATGAGTTTTAACTCGCCTAAAACGCCTTTCAAGTCATGTATATATCAAACCAAATATAAAATGAACGTAAAACTAAACAACATCGTTTATTCAGTTCATCATTCACAACACAACACTTCCAGGAAATTAATAAACTGAGTGTTCCATCGTATGCAGAAAACACTTTCCAGACTGAAACAAAATCAGTCACGATGTTCGCTACCCACATGAACTTATAAACCTATCAATCCATTTCTCAGATAGAATACAAAAAACAGTCCTACAAATAAAGAGAAGAAACAGAATGTTAATTACGAAATGAAATTCATCAGTTATGGTAAAAGCAGTATTCAAAAACTTGCCTCCATGCCTCTTTTCAAAAATCAGTCGATTGTTAGGTGCCGGAAAAAAAATGCGTATTTATTGTTATTAATATTTGTCCCTTAGGTTCCTAGTGGAACATAGGACATCAGTAGCACGTCACCACTTCACTCTCTCCTCCACAGTCTTTTTAACCTGGATACACGACTGCCAACAAGCTTTCATTTATTCCTCACACCATATCCTCCATGTCACCCTCACCTCGGACGCCCAACTCGTCCCTTCCCATTTGCCTTCCACTCGAGCGTCTGGCCTGTCGCATAATGTCCCAAACGGTTTTCTCAGTGTATGCCCGATCCATTTCCACTTCTTTCTGCATATTTGTTGGGTGATGGGTTCTTGGTTCGTTCGTTGCCAGCCAGCCAGAGTCCCTTGTTGCTTATTCCATCTGGCTATCTGGTCTTCATCTTCAGTATCGAGCATAGGTGGCAGCTGTTGATGATGTATATCTAGGGTTTGTTGGAAATGGGTTTCGTGACGTGCCAAGTTTCCGAACAATCACATACTGACTTGACTGAATTGGTGTTGAAAATTCAGATCTTGTTCAGCTTTATACTGAGTGCAGTAGATCTCCACACTGATTTCAGATTGATGAAGGAGGGCCTGTCTTGCTGTCTCTCCGATCCTGGATGACTTCCACATCCTCATCTGGGCCGCTACCGCTGCCTGTAGTTAAAACGATGCTGTCTAGTAAGGTAGGTGAAAGAGACTACTTCCTTCAGATATCTCCCGTTGATGGTGATTGGTGCTTGTTTTAGTTGTTGATTGGGTATCTTCATCGCCTCTGTCTTCTCTACGTTCACTTGAAGTCTCGTCTTCACTGCCTCTTCTGTCAACTTGTTGGTTTTTGCCTGTAGATCTTTGAGCTTGTGCGACATTAGACATAAATCATCATCGGCGAAGTCCAAATCTTCTAGGCTCTTTTCATCGGTCAAACAGAGTATACCCATCTTCTCGCCCCTCATGGTATGCTGCATGATCCAGTTCACCACAACCAGGAAGATCATCGGTGATGATAGTAGGTGGCAGCTTTGTCTTACTCCTTCCTGTCTTCACTTCAAAGACGTCATTGAGCTTTCCATTGTGAATCACTTGGCATGTGGCATCGTCATATAGCTGTTTAATGAGGTTGATAAAGGTCTTTTGACTGCAATAGCATATTAATAGAAGTAAATTACTTTAAGTTACCTTTTGGAAGTTAAAACAGCAGTATTTTTTGTTGAATTTTGAACTGGTTAATATCATTCAAATGTTCTACTGAAACAGTATAGTACTGTGAAATCCGTGAATTTTAGAAAAGCACCACTCAGCAGGTACCTCTCCTTCCTTCCTTCCAAACCTTCTACAATAGTGATGTGAGTTTGTCCGTTGCTGATGTGTCTGCGTCTGTTTTCAGTGCTTGTGGCGGGATTCCATCTGGTCCTGCTGCTTTCCCAGATTTCAGCAACTTTATGGTGCTCAGGACTTCACTTCTGTTTTTGTCGGAGGGTTATTTTTCACTGCTAATTCTGTGTCTGGGCTACTGGTGGCATTTCTGGACGAGTTGCAGGTGTTGGTTGTTGTCGATTCAAGAGATTTTGAAGTGGTCGGTCCATTGTTTCTTTTGCTTCTACTCTTTGCTAAGCAGGTTTCCTTCACTGTATTTCATTGGTTTCATCTGCATTGATCTCTCTCCTCCCAGATAGTAACCTGGTTATTTGATATAATGTTGTCAGGTCTCTTCTACCAGAAGCCTGTTCTGCTTCACTTGCCAATGTGTCGTAGAATTGTCTTTTGTCTTCGCGTGCACTCTTTTTCACTTCTTTGTCCAGTGTTTTGTACGTTGTACTCAGTTCGTCTTTTTGTTGTGCATCTCTGTACTGGTTTATCTTCTGCTTCACCATCTCACTCTCACTGCTCTGTCAGCTTTCATGTATCCGTCGAGATCCGTTCCTTGTCTTGTTTCCTCTTCCTTCCTAATACGGTTATGCAGGTTTCTTTCCACATAGCTTTCAAAGAGTTCGAGTGTTCTTCCACGCAGGTTTCTTCAGGGATGTCGCCCAATATCTCCCATTTTGTCCTGATGACTGACTGACGTGAAGATGTCCTTTAGAGTTTCGTCCTTCAGTTTATGGGTGTTGAACTTGAACTGTGGCCTATCACCAACTTCCTTGAAGGCTTTCAACAAGATTTTGAAAGTAGGTTCCTCGAACTAGATAGTGAATGGTGTGAACCTACATCTGCTCCGCTTCTTGATTTTGTGTCCAGTGGACTGCGTCTCCACTTTCTTGAGATTGAGATGAAGTCGGTCCGATTTTTAGTGTATCCATCTAGTGAAATCCATGTCGCTTTGTGAATATCCTCGTGCTTGAACACACTGCCTCCAATCACCAAATCGTTGAATGCGCAGAATTCTGCAAACAGTTCTCAGTATACATACACATGCATATTTTAAAGTGTCAAAACTCTAGATGTCTGGCATTTAAGTATAACAGTTATTAACAAGCAAACAGAGATGGACCACATTCTGAGTTCATTTGATTAGTGGTCTTAAGCAATGAAATCCAACTGATCAACCGTAGAGGTAAGACGATGAAAAGTTATGAGGTCAGGTATGAATATTAATAATAGCAAAACTACAGTAGGCGACCAATTATATCCAACATCTGTAGAATGAGTTACAGAATACTGATTGAAAAATCTTTAGAGTTCACTTTTTTTCAAGTTTTGCACCAATGGTAGAAGAAATCAAAGCTCTGTAGATGAATCACTCACTTCCAGCAACGCATTACCACTGAAGTCAGTCGAATCGTTTGCCAAATATTAAGCGAATAAAGCAAAGCTGTATATCCACGAAAATAATGAAGGTCACTCGTCAACCGTTAGTACGTACATGTAGTAAGCAATCAGCCACTTCTGTTGTGCGAGGGTTAATAATATGAACTGGCTGCCAAGACCATTGATAGGTGGAGTGGGCTTTGAATCTATATTTCATCATTTGGAAGTCGGTATCTTAGATCAGTGAGTCACAATGGGAGACGAGCAAATTGTCTTTCATCCAAAACTAAAGTAATTTCAATGACAGTAAAGTTTCTATGCAAACATTCATGTTACACTTTTTGGGGAAGTAACCAAACTGGTGTTGTAACGTGTACATTCAGAAATCACTGCCTGGAAAACACAGAAAATAAATGCAAGGACAGTTTGAACTCTTCACTCAAAATAATGATGTTTACTTACACTAAAATAAGACACTACTGGATGATGTAACTGATTCAGTATATTCTGAATGTGTCAACTATCAGGTTATACTGGAAATTAGCTTGTTTAGACCTTGACAAATTAGTTAATTTCTATGCTTTCCAAATAATGCTCAGTCAAAATCAATTCCGTGGTTCAAATCCTTTAAAGCACCTGAAAAACGGACGACCGTTATGGATAGTGCTCGAATAAATGTCTTCCAGAAGCGTAGTATTTTGGTCTACTGTGTGCTCAGGATGAGTTAGTCTTCAACCTCAGGCTTCAGTTAGTCGATGATTTTCTCATCAAAGCTTCTTCACAAAGTGAATTAATTGTTTGCGCATGGATGTAACCTACGTTTGACCTGATCAGTCTCTTGATGACTGTGATGAGGGCATACTGAACTTGAATTGCTGACCTCTTGTCTCTAGATTCTCAGAGGGGTGTGTTTAGTGCTAAGGGATTGACTGTCAGATGAAACACCCTCCGACTACCGTTGTGTGTGCATAATCTTGTCCTAGATTGAGTCAGTCGCCGTCTAATAAACTTGGTGATTGAGTTGATAACTTCGGTACTGAACGATGTAGGCCCTACAAATTGAAGGGAATATCATTCTCTTGTAGGTGTAGGTACCCCCCGCTAATGAGCCCCAACAAACAGATAATCTCGTTCGGAGATCGCCAACTATCGATTTTCAACATCTTGCAACAAATATACAGTCTACAAAACAAAAAATACACGATGAAATGTTTTATTCTTCATGCTGATAACCTTTCACTAAATCTTTCTTTACCTTACCTTCTTTCACTCAATTTTTTAAAACTTGATTTATCAGGTACAGCAGTGTCTGTGAATTAGAAAATGTGATAACACAAAACTATCCAGAGTTAATAAGTCCATTTAAAATTGTCCTAGAAGATTTTCGTAAAGATTTATTACAAACAAAAAGAGAAAAGACAAAATTAGAAGAAACATACATGAAGTAAGTAAATAATTTTTAATCTAACCTTTGTTGTTTTGCTTTTTTTTCCAGAAATGTTTTAGTTCAGTCTAACAACTTTTCCCCCCTTGTGGTTTCTTTTTCCACCTAAAGTGTCTCAAATGAATTTGAGCTAAGACTGAAGCAAGTAGTAAACACAATGCACGGTCAGAAATCTTCCTAATTGTTATCTCTTTATGCAAAAAAGAGACGAGTTAAGTTGAATCAGGCACCTATAAAATTTTGATATGATGGAGAATATTTGTAGCTCAGGAAGATGATTTTGATAGTGTTGTTTTCTATGAGCGGGATGGTTTGATTGTGAGGCTTTCATTGTCATTCTAGACAACACCATCAGCACTCACTTCAGGAAGAAATAAGCCGTGGGATTTGCTCCACAGCTGGTTAAGTGGCTTTTCTTGATGACTTTGGGCGTGAGTGGTTGTTTCTGCTAAAATCTTGTCATTAGATTGGGTCAGTGTCAATGTTCCTGTTGACCGCTGACTAACATGAATACCAAACTTCTAAATAATCTCTAATAATAGTGATAATAATAATAACAATTCACTTCATTCCAAACAGTTTGTGGTATAATTTGGAATTCTCAGCGCAATATTTATTGCAATAACAACAAAATATAAGTACATACATACTCCTTTACAACATTTCGAATTATTTTATTATAAAAACTTAAGTTATATGAAGAATATTAAAAACGAAAATTTTTTACAATGTTAGTTGATTTATTGAAATAGGATTTTTAACTTACAAAGTTGATGTGCCATTTCGGTTCTAACCCTTTTTTCCTCACAAAATATGTGTGCCAGATAAGGTACAGTCGAATTCTTATACTTAGCTGTACGAGCATACAGTCTTATGTAGTTTCTCCTTGTCCTCCCTGAGGAGATACATGGAGAGAGCTGTGAATGAAGTGGATGCTCACTGTCAGTTAAAATTTCTGTAGCTAGTAGCTTGCAGGAATTTATATGTCGATCAACTACAGTGTTAATCAGTTGAGCCAGAGACACACCACTCACCTTGCTGACGGTCTTCAAAGCCCTACGCAACATAACATAGTCCTTTTTAAGAAGACCAGAAAAGATTAATGGGGAACAATATAGAAGAATAGGTAAAATGCAGGAATTAAAAAATTGTAAAAAAAGCAGTTGAGTTATACCAGAAAGCCTCAATTTCTTTACGTAATAAGTTAAACGAAAGATTTTTTACAAGTCAATAAAATATGGGACGACCAACAAAGGTCAGAAGTAAAACGCAACCCAAGATAGTTCACACTCGATTTACTTTCTGCAGAAATACCATTGATGCAGCAGGCGTCATGAGATTTAAGCAGCTCACATAAGTCTTGTTTACTCCTGAGGCTAAAATTAATAGTCTGACATTTAGAAGGGTTTAGTTTGAGACCATTTGCCAACTTCAGACAAGAATTCATTTAATTTCGAGCAATCCAAAGAAGAGTTTACTGGAATAGAAATCGTCAGGTCGTCAGCATACTTGATAAAATTAGTTTCAACAGAATAAGGCAAATCGTGCAAAAAAAGGAAAACAGAAAAGGAGAAAGTACAGCACCTTGAGGCACACCAGCTTCAGTAAGCAATGAAGTGGAGCGCATCCCTTTATGAATAGTGTACTGTTTCCTTTCAGAAAAATAAGAATGCAGCCATTTTGTAACCCATGGATCAGTGTGAGCTATGGCAAGCTTATTTAACAAAAGTGGTCTAGGAACAGAGTCAAAGGCTGATGAGTAATCCAAAAAGGCACAACGGACATACTTAACACCTTTGTCGAGACTAGAAACAATATTATGATGCAAGACAGTAGCTGCATCTAAAGTACTCCTCCGGTGTTTGTAAGCAAACTGTTTTGGATCTCTGAAGGCCATCAATGAAGGCTCAATCACAAGCAGAAGTAATTTCTCCATTGTCTTCAGAAAAGGGGAAGTTATAGCGATGGGTCGAAAAGTAACATCTGATCCAGAAGATGGCTTAGGCACAGGTACAATTTTTATCTGCTTCCAAGCAGTGGGTATTATGTTTTTAGAGAACGATACATTGAAGATATCTGTAAGTGGATGACACAAAATATCTGCACATTTTCTAAATATGATACTAGAAACACCATCAGGACCTAAGCTTTGGGAGGGATTCAAAGACTTTAGACATTTAAATACATCATTTGTATTGAAACCTGGAAAGCAGCTATCCACTTGATTTTGCACATTAGGAAGGGTGAAATTAGCTTGCCGACGTATAAATGACTTGTTTAACCCGCAGACATCCGAACGAGTTTGTGTTGTCATCTGTTTTTTACCAGTAAGCTCTTTAAATAATTTCCATATATTGGAAGAGTTCTTACACGATAAGAACTTCTTGTTGTATATAGTATTCAGACGTTGTATTTCAGACTTAATTAGGCAGTTAAGCCTTTTAACGCCAGGGTGATCTCTCGCCTTATACAACCTTTCCTTTTCTCTCCGAAGCCTCTTGAGATGAGGAGAGGAAAGTCTGTCAAATCTCATGTAAATTGTTTCAGTAGGGCAGCAGATATCGAGACAGAATCTGAGATAGCTTGTGATATTGGTAATAGTGTTGTCTAAAACTTCATCAGCAAATATATCCCAGTCCGTTTCTATAAGCATGCTTCTCAAACGTAATATATTTTCTTGTGAATAGCATCTGTATTGAACTTTCCTTGAAAGGTATGCAAAAGCTTTCTTGTATAATTTTCCGTACACTTTAGGCAAAACACGAACGATACAGTGGTCGGAATTTAGCAGTGGAAAAAAAAAAAAAGCTTCATATATGCCAGGTTCATTTGTAAATGCAAAGTCTAAGGTGTTGTCAAGACGAGTGGAAAAGTTAACCATATTTTTATGACCCAATGATAATAGAAAACTGTAGTCACATGAGTTAAAATCACCACAGACAATAGACAAGGAGTTTCCCAGAACCGGAGCAGCAAATTCAGTGAATTTATCAGCAAAAGTTGACAAATCTGAGAAACTGCAGTCAGGTGTGACATACATGTTTGTGATATATATGTATTTGTATTTGCTCAAATGTTTGGGACGACATTTGATGGTAATGCACTCAATTTTTCCGTTAGAGAAGCAGAAGCATACATAGTTGGAGGACGACCAGTTAGTACTAATAAATGTTGCTACACCACCACCACATTTCTTCTTCGAAAAGCTTCGATCTTGTCGAAATAATTTGAAACCATCTAAGCAGACTAAGTCATCATCATACAGATTATGAAGCCATGTTTCCTGCAGCATTATTACACCCGTGTTTCGATAAACATTTGTGGACAAGAGTGACTGAAGGTAATCAACTTTATTCGGCAACGACCTGCAGTTTGTGCTAAGTATTTCCGGAATAGTCATTTGATCTATGGTCATACGCTTCAGAGCTCGTTGCCATCCACCGTGGTGCTTCTTCTTAAATTTCCTATCAACTTGCGAAGCGATAGGTTGTAGTTATTTTAAAAGCGCGCAAGAATATACAATACGATTAGTTGACACAAACGATTAAAACAATATAGAAACAAGAAATTTGATGCAATATACTCGATGATAGGAAACGGTAGCCCAGAGTTCAAACTGACCTCTGCATTTCCTCTGACATGACATATCATAAAATCTCTTATATCAAAACATATGGACAATTGTGAGAATTAATTTGACCGGGAAAATGGGGAGAACCTCAACAGAGAAAATATAAAGGACCCTAAGACTCTGATCGTTGGCATCAAGGGGCTACTCAGTTTTATACTTACACCTAACTTTTTCAATCTCTGAAGCACATTTATTGATTGTAAATGTTTTCATCGACCTCTAGCTTCTTCAATGATGTAAGAAGTAAACTTTTAGTATAGCAGCACTAAAAAGTTATCTTTACGAGAGCAGAATACTGTTGATTCAGATGTAAGCATTAGAAAATTTTAGAGAAAGTAGATTTTGGTTCCCCCATGAGTATATAACAGAGAGACAGAAACAAAATATTAGAATAGAACCTCGCACACAATTGCCTCGATTCAAATTGTCACAATTCACGGGAGTATACGGAGAGCATATGGATAGAAAGAGACTAATATGAAAGGAGATAAAAGTATGTAGCAGGAAAAGAAAAAAATGAAGGTTAGTCAAAGGATTCAAGCTTTAGCAGACCAGACATCAAGGAGTGAATGCATGTCCCCCACTGTGACAGGTTTGCAACCAGTGTTAACTAGTTTCCAACAATTGATTCCTATTGTTTTGAGGACACCAACCAGGGGTTCTACACCTCCCTAAATGGGTCAGGCCAACAGTCAGAGACTTCATGCACTAGTATCACATCTTGGTATGGTCACCCTGAGCCTTATTCCAGTCCAGTCATACTTCTGACAATACTTCATATTGAGGTAGGTGATGGCTGGGCATGCGTTGCACATATAAATGCCACGTCAGTCGATGGAGACTTATAATCTCATCGTCTTGCTTCCCTTTCTTGCCAACTACCCTTCTCCTCTAATCAGTAGTGTGTATAGATGACCTTTCCTTAAGGATGAATTAAAGAACTTATGACCTTCTTAGCGATCATAGCTTCTGAATATGATTTACACTTAGTCTAAAGCAAAGTATTTCATGAATTACATTCACAATCTGCAATAATACAAATTGCTGTAAGACTGATGACAGACGCTAGTTTACCGGACAGCAAAAAGAATTAGGTTACCTCTTCAAGTATAAGTTAAAAAGACGACGATTAAAAGTCAAAGTAAACCAAAATATGTTGGAGGGAATTTCATTGTTAAATATTTTCAAATTTGCTTAATAATGTTATACAAGCTACGTTTAAATTTAGAGGACGATAGTAACACTGATGAATGGTGGCTAGCAGCGGAATTCAAGACGCGCGCTTCGTCCTGTGTGGGACTCGTCAGCTGGAAGTACCTGCTTCCGAGTGAGCGATGTAGTTCCCATTAGACCTTGAACTTGGGACTGA